TCGGCGGCGCGGGGGTCTCGGCGGCGCCCGCAGCGGCCGCCGCACTGCGCGTGGCTCCCGCCGCGCCGGGAGGCTCCGCGTCACGCCGCCTCCCCTCACCCCCCCGCCGCCTGTCAGGCACTTTCCCCGCCGCGGTGCAAAAATAAAGCGCAGCCCCCGCGGCGCGGCGCCGCTGCCGGCGGGCGCCCCCGGCCCGCGGCAGCCGCTCACCTGGAGGGAGGCCGGGCGGGCGGGCGCGGGGCGCGCCGTGCCCTTGCTGCTGCCCGCGCCGCTCCCGGGCTCAGCGCTCGCCCGCGCTGAGGTGCCTCGCGCTGCTGCGGTACAGAGAGACGGGCAGAGATATTCCGGCAGCCAAGGGGCGTCTGCTTCGCGTATTTGTCTTAAGGCAGCTCGTTCCTCTCCGCTCTTTCTGAAGCAGAAGAAAACAGCCCGAGCGGCAGCGGCGCGGCTCAGTTTGACACGGGAGAGGCAGCGAGGCCCGGGGAGCCGCAGTTTTTTTTTCCTGGCCGCGCAGAGAGGCAGGCAGAGAGGAGGGAGGGAGGGCCGGAGCGAGGGCGGGCGGGCGGGAGGGAGGCTCTGTGATCCGCAGACAGGCTGGGTTATTCCTGGCACCACTTCCCAGAACAGAAGTTACAGGGCGGCGAGCGAGCGGCGCGGGGAGCGCGCGGCCCGTGACGTCACCGGGTCCCCCAGCGCGGCGGGGCGGGCGCGCTGCGGGCAGGGACGCGGCGGCGGCGGGAGGAGGAGGAGGAGGGGAGGGAGGGGGCCGGGCCTGCGGGGCCGCGGCCCGCGCCGCCCGGGGAGAGCTCGGCCGGCCCCCCCTCCCCCGCCTCCGAAAAGGGAACTCCCAGGAGAGCCGGTCTCAACTTGCCGGGCACAACTTGCGCGTCCTCCCGGCTCGAGAATTTCCTTTAAGGATGTGGGATCCTCCTTCCTCCCCCACCCCCTTTTCCCTCCCCCCGCCTTTATTTTTTTATTTTTTTCCCCCTCCAGCTCCTCCGCTTCGCCCGGTCAGGATCCCGGTGTCAGGAATAACGCGCGCGTTCCCGGCGCGGGGTCTGAACCTGCTCGCGCCCCCCCCGCCACCCCGCGTCCAGTTAGAGCCGCGGGTGCCTCGGCGGCCGCCGGGGAGGCCGYCCCCCTCCCCCGCCGCTGCCCTCGCTGTCAGGGCACGGAGCGGCGGGCGGGCGGCCTCGCCCCCGCCGCACCAGGGGCTT